GTGCTCCCCCAACCCCCGGTCGGGAAAAACAAACATAGTTCGTCGGAGAGAAAGATGTAAATGTATTTTCAACATACAGACTTTGAAAACATTTTTTCGTCGGGGACATCTTCCCCCGTCGGGGACCTCAGACCCCTACCGCCGTCGGGAAAATCCTGGTTTTTCGACTGCTTTATTTGACCATATACCTCCATGATTTGACAATATTGTTTACAATTCAATTAAAAATATATACACTTTTCTAAAACAATGATACAGGCCTGTTTTAGTTTGAAAAATAATTTTCTAAGCTCCAAATACTAATTAAGTATATTAGAAAATAAACAATAGGCCTTTATAGCTTATAACGACTTACATGTTTTTTTGTTTTTTTTTTTTGTTTTTTTTTTGTCAAAAGTTGAGAACTAAACAGAGGCATAAAGACCAGTAGAAGTTATAAAATTTGATTTTAACCTATGTGATCGTTTTGTAAACATCAACTCGAATCTAAAATTATGGTAAAATCCGGGGTGAAACCTGGATACTTTTGATGACGTTTGATCTACATGCACATAAACAAATATAATTTACAATTGCAAATTCCTTTTGGGAATTTCCCAAAAAAGGGTGTAATAAAAATTTATGATTGGCACATCTGATGACCGGAAATGGAACTCTCAGATTTAAATTTGAATATAATTCTCTTTTTTTAGGCCTACACAAGTTAAAAATAAAAATTAGGGTAGGGTGGTGCCCCTTGAATACGCCACTGCTTCAAAACCTAAAATTATGCATCGACTTACCTTTACAGCAATTTAAGACCTCAACTCAATGTTGCTGTAATTCAAATTCTGTTGCGCAATGGAGTAAAAATACTTTTCCGTCTCTCAATTAATACTTTAAGACAACATCGATAATAATTTGTTGTTAACTTGCTTGACATTACAGCACGAATGATTAGGCCTTTTTGTCCGTCAGTTGTTGCAGGGTAGGCCTATGATTGCTTTACATTAGTTGATGACACACTTCCTCCTCCGTACTGTGTGAAGAGAATTGCCTTGGCATTCCAGCGTTTATACTTGGCTATGACGTCCAATTATACTCATATTCGGAATATTAAAGTCTAGTTTATAAACGTTCTGTAGAAATGCTCCAAATTCCATCTAATAGGCGTACCGAGTATCTAGAATTAGTCAGTCCATACTCTGCAACTTGATAACCAACTCTCACTGAAGACAATTAAGGTCAGAATGGTTATTTTTTTATTTATTCGTGTTGGGCTGCTAGCGTGGTTTCTTTCTAATGGGGAATGGTCAAGGGTATATCTATTAAATCTTTTGCCGGGTCGCTTAGCCGAGGATTAGTGCTATTGTAATTGTGACTTATGAAACGTTTAAATAATAAAAAGGGATACCGGTATATTTGTTATTTGCACTTTGATTGCACTTGCGATTCACACTGTTGCACTTTCCTTTTCGTAAAATGAAATAATTTAGAGTGTATGAGGAAGGTCCAAAGTTATAACCAATGAATGACAAAAGAAGGCATTTTGAAATATTAATTGGATCGATTGGTATATTATTATTATTTATTTATTTATTTATTTATATTATTATTATTATTATTATTATTATTATTATAATTATTATTATATAATTATTATTATATAATAATAATAATAATAATAATAATAATATATTATTATATAATTTCTAAAAACGCAGTTTGTATTATAGGCCTAAAGTGCCTTTTGGTGTTAAACGTAAACATTCCCATAATCCAGGTTTTATGTTACATGCTTGTTTTAATTGTTTCATAAATACGCCATTGAGTACACCTCTCCTGCCTGACTATATTTAATTTTGGCTTAAATCAGAATATTAGGATTTACGAGATCAACAAAAAGTTTACTTAGGATTTCATAAGGACTATTATATAAATTCTATTCAAGCAAAACATTTCTTATTCACTGGCAAAAATCTCATTTTTAATAGTGGTCTTGCTCATAAGATCCATCGCGTACCACGCTCCTTTAACGCAGGTCATGAACAGCTGCAGCTTAACGTGGAATTTATTGATTTTTTTTCACACTCTCAGATCCCTCTTCTAGCGTTTACAATGTAGTCTTATATCGGTGGTGTATCTAAGGGTGCGGGTCCAAAACTTACTCGCACCCCCGCTCCTGCCCCCCCCCCCCCCCAAAAAAAAATCTCTTGCAAGTAGTTAAGAATCATAAAAATCTACCATCGAGCCCGAGCCCCCATAAACTCCCGCATTTCGAGACTTCTAGACGCCACTGGCCTATATACCGGTATATAGTACTGCAATAAGGTTTCGAGCTAATCTTTATATGTAACATTTTGTATAGATAGTATCTTCGGAAATCCTGTCTTGCCGATTAAGATGCTTCAAGGCCTAAAGAATATGGTGTACCACGTCGATTTGTGTTTAACGCGTGTGCATTGAATAGGCCTACCGACTAGAATAAGCGCCGCGGCGCTTATAACATTTTTGGGCGCTTCCGTGCTGCGTTTATTCGAAAGCGGCACTGAAAATGATTCTTTTCATGCCCATTCTCATGGTATCTCACATATTCCCGTAGTTCAGTAGGCCTATCAAATGTCCTATGGCATCGTAAATAAACGTTTATAAATAATGCTTCCATCTTCATTGTGTTATTTATTCATTTTAACACGTCTGTACACATATTTAAAATCCTGTTTCTCAAAATGTTTTATTATAGGCCTACACTAGGGTATTAGACCCTATTCGTGAGCGGCGCTTAGCGAGGAAAAAGAAAAAAAGAAAAAAAAAAACAGGTTTGGTGCGGCGCTTATTCGAGAGCGTACGGTGCTTCGAACAGTTACGGTATCACTACTACTATACGTGGTTCCCAACCTTTTTTGCGTTTGTGGACCCCTCTGGACATGCCAAAATCTTGACGTACGGACCCCCGTGCAGTATTGTGCATAGTATTTTAATGCAGAGCGGTTGTGAAGCATTTTTGGCCCATGGCCCAGTAAGCTACTCGATCTTGGCATGATTCCCTACCGATCAGGTATGATTTTATAGGCATAGATAAACCTAGAAACAACAAGCCACATAAATCAATGCAATTAATAATTAATTATAAAAGTAAGAGTGAAGGAATTGAATATTTTGAGAATGAAAAAAAGAATCTCAGCCTCCACCGGGAAACGAACCCGGGACTTTTTGCTTACACGGCGAACGTCTTATCAACTACACCATGAAGGCTTCTGGTTGATTCGATCTGGTATCCACTGAGAGTCCTTTAACATTACCCGTCACCATGACAGTTCGAACAACACTAGTCCGTGCACGAAGTTTTAATTTTTCAAAACGTAGTTCAAGTTTTTTCAAAATGTAGTTCTAATTTATTTAAAATGTAATTCAAATTTCAAAACGTAGTTCTGACTTGATAAAATGCCCTCTCCAAATTCTGTTCCAAACGTAAATCAAAAAACACACAAGCATGACTGGTTTGATACACTCCATGATACCGATTGATGTTACGACAGTGGCTCTATTGTTTTATAGTAGTAATTATACCCAAAATTTCTAGGCTTCTTTTTTGCGAACCTTGGATGGGCTACATTTTGCAAGTAAGGAGAGCTTCTTTTCAAATGAATGCTGTAAATTTTGGGAATTCAACTATAGATAAAACAATTATAAGG